TTTTAACATTTGACTAAAAAAAGGAAGACATGGCCAATGATGTATGAAACAGTATCTTCCTTATTAATAATTTTGAAAATGCAGATTATAAAAAGGATTTTATTTTCAGCTATTAGATTGGCAAAGATAATAACTAGTGTTGACCAAAGTTCAGAAAAATGAGAGCTTTCACACAGTGTAGTTGAAGTTTATTGATGCTACATTTCTAGAAGACAATTGGACAATATGTATTAATAGCCTTTCCATTTCAAATACAGCTGGACCCAGGAATCTTAATTCTATTTATTCACTCTGAGAAAATAATCAGGGATCTGGGAAAAGGATATATGCAAGATGTTTGCTGCGTTGTCGCTTATATTAACACAAAAATTGAAAACAGTCTAAAGGTATATTAATAAAAGCTCATTGACTAAATTATGATACACAGGTATGGTATACCTCAAATATAGTGAGGGTTTGATTCCAGACCACCACAATAAAACAAGAACAATAAAGTACAATAAAGTACAATAAAGTAAATTACACAGTTTTTTTTGGTTTCCCAGTATGTATGAAAATTATGTTTACAGTATACTGTAGTCTATTAAGGGTGCAATAGCATTATGTCCAAAGAAACATTGCATATACCTTAATTAAAAAATACTTTATTGCTAACAAATGCCAGCCATTATCTGAGCCTTCAGTGAATTGTAATCTTTTTGCAATAGTGACATCAAAGATCACTGATCACAGATCAACACAGCAAATATAATAATAATGAAAAAGCTAGAAATACTGTGAGAATTGCCAAAATGTGACACATACAAAGTGAGCAGATGTGGTTGGAAAAGCGAGGCCAATAGAATGGCTCGATGCACAGTTGCCACAAACTTTCAATTTGTGAAAAAACATAATATCTGTGAAGTGCACTAAAGTGAAGGGCAATCAAACAAGGTATGCCTGTAATCTCTACAACTGAAATTTCTTCAGGTATTAAAACTGATGTAGTAGAAGAATGTGTAATTATTATACATGATTATGATGTTCATGGCATATTAAGTAAAAAGAATAGATTATAAAACAACATCCTATATGATCACATTTTTGGAAAACTGTACACAGAGGACAAACCAAAAAGATGCACATAAAATGTAAACAGTGCTCATCTCTGGGTAGTAGGACTACTCTTGACTTTGTTTTTGTTTTGTGTGTGTATGTCAGATTCATATTTTCCAAATTTTCTACTGTTACAAAATGTTATGAAAGAAGAAAGGAAAATACTACTTAAAAAATATGTCTTGCCAGCCAGATGATCAACTTGAAGTCAGGGATTATGAACAAATCTTTTTCTTTAAATCTTCAACACCATTGACTTTTGTGTCTGGCAAACAGAAAGAAATCAATTGACATTTCTCAAAATGAAGTCACAATGCTTCAAACAAAAGCTACAGGGCTAAATAAAATAGGATGTTTATTATAAAGATTTCCCCAATGTGAATTCTTAATAGAACATTGTCAAGTTGCTTCATTTCCCTCTTAAGTCACAATTTATTACAGATAATGGTATTCCACTGCTTTTAATACATCTAGTCTACTAATTCTCTCTCCAACAAACGGGTTGATCTACATATACAAATAGTTTTCAGAGATTGCATTCTCTTTTATATGAGTATTACTATATTCTTAATAAAGAAACATATAAATCTACTTGTAATACAAAAATACAGGTTAACATTGGATTTAGATGCATCTAAACTCAAATTTTGTAGGTGAATGGCAAACATTTCCAAGGATTATGGGACACTATAGTTACTAAGTGGAAACACTTAACTAATGAAAAAAAATTATAAAGATATCAGATGCTCAAACTTGCCTTTTCCTTCAGATTAAGAGAGAGATTTATTTATACAATACAGCTGAAACCAGGACCTATAAGACATGTTTAGTCTCCTTGACTATTCCCCCAAGATCACCAGAAATGAATAACCTAATTGGATGTTTTGACAGGCCCTGCATTGATTATGAGAGTGATTTTTGTACATGATACTCTTAAATAGTAACCTATATAATTTATATGACTATAAACAATATTGTTTTATTTTAAAGTTATCCAAAAAACTGTTCAACAATGTAAGAATACAGAATATGATGGGTCTTATGAGGGTACTTAAAAGTCCTCTTCTATCACATGAATGCCCCAAAAGTTTTGATTATACAAACTGGGTTCAAGAATATCTATGATAATAAAAAAGAACTAATAATAATAACTTAAATATCCTGTGGAAAATACTCCACTCTAACAGTTGATTTAAGTGTCTAACATATAAAGATTCTCTGATACAAGTATAAATGGAAGAATTAAGGAATTGGGTATTTATAAGATTAAATGAGTATTTTGACTTAAAATGTCTCTTAATTTGTGTTAGTTCTCCGATTCTTTTTTCTATGCTGCCAAAATCCTAACCTCTTTTGATTAAAAAGATGCTAATCCTATGGTTCAAGAAACTTTACTAATTAATAATAATAAAACATGAGACGTGTCCTGTGAGTCCCACAAAAGTATTGAGCAGTGCTGACTTCATTCTTTTCTGCATGGTTCTCCTTTTCCTTTTTTTTGTAGCTATCAGGGCTTCCTGTTCTGTTGCCCGAGGAAACATAATGCAATTTTCAGACTTCAATCTTACTTTGGCAGCAAACAGTGCCCAAGGCTTAACTTAGTTGCTAGTTTGTTGTTGTTGTTGTTGTTTATTTCTGTCAAAATGAGCTCCTCTGAAATTATTTTCATCAAGAATTTTCATCTCGTATTTTACCATCTGAGTTTGAATGATGATTTTCTTGAACTATTAAGACAGTTTGTTTTGTTTTGTTTTGTTTTTAATTTCCAGTGTTTTCTACTAAGGATTGTATACAACTTCAGGAAACATGAATTTATAAAAATATTTCAACAAATTTATGACATACTCAAAATGAGAGCACTGGAATTTCACCAAGGAATATAATTGAATTTTAAGGCAGTTAAAAATGACAGAGCTAAAAATGGCTATCCTGAGAACCCAGGATAATTCCCATATTTCTATGTGACACCCTTTCTTAAGTGAATATAAAAACCCCATTGTAAACATGTGTGATGAACCCTGCCTTTATGTTTGTAGTGATGGTGAAAATGCAAAGGCATGGCATCAAGAATGCTTTTTTCCACTTGTGTGATCAAATTTTCAGTATGTAGTTATAAATAAGCTTTACTCTTGCCTTTATTAGGTGTTAATTGCTGCATAACAAATAACACCCAAAACTTAAAGTTTATTATCTCACAGATTTTGTGGGTCAGGAAATCAATCAAGGAGTGGCTTATCTAGATCCTCTGCTTTAGGGTGTCTCATGAGGCTGCAATGATATAGAGGCTAAACTCATCTTGATGCCTATTAGGGAGGAACTGTTTCCAAGTTCACTCTTGTGTTTGTTGGTAGGATTCAGCTCCTTGTGGGCTGCTGGCTGAAGCCTCCCTCAGTCCCTTGCCACGTGGGCCTCTCCTGAGGGTAGCTCCCAACCTGGCAGCTTGTTTCCGTCACAGTGAGCGAGTGACAGATAAGGAGAGAAGCCTGTGTTTTGACAACCCAATATCGGAAGTGACAGCCCATCACTTCTGCTGTATTCTACTCATTAAGAGCTAGTCATTTGGTCCCAGCCACACCCGAAGTGTGTACGCCAAGAGGCAGGACCATCTTGGAGGCTGCCCATCCCATGCAAGATACATTCACACCCTTCCCAGATCCCCCAAATTCTCATGGCGTTACAACATCAGCTCAAAGTCCAGAATCTCATTACTGAAGTCAGGTCAGGGTGGGTGAGGCTCCCTGTGTGTGATTCTTTAGGTGCAGCTCCTGGAGCACAGTTCCTCTGCACCTGTAGACCCACGAAGACAAGTTATGTCCCAATATACAGTGATAGATCAGGCACAGGGATAACTGCCCTAAGACACTCCTGTTCACCAAGTGAGAACTGGAAAACTCAAAGGAGTCACTACATCCAGCCCACACTCAACGGAGGAGATTAGACAAGGGCCTGAAAACTAGGAGGCAGGGGGTAACTGGGGGCCATCTCAGAGGCTGCCTACCACTCTGCCTGGCTGACCCTAATAATAAAAGACATGAAATTTTAGAGAAATATTTTATGAAGCTTGTAGTGTAGCTGATTTTTCAATATATATTGCACTGCTGTGTTTGTACTGCAATTTCTTCTTTGGCTCAGGATAAAAATTCTTTTAGATTACAAGAATACTGGAGGAAATTGCTTAAACATTCCATCTCCCTCTATCACGGCTATAGATCTGATCGTTGACTCTTAGGTTGTTTTATTTTCCCAAACTGTTCAAGATGTTTTCCTAAAGTTTAATATAACATGTTACAGCTCCATACTGATTCTTCTAGCTACATTCTGTATTTCTTCTTCAATTTATCAATACATCTTGCATTTGCATAAAATTCAAATTATATTCCTTGATATGACATGTCTTTACTTTGAATATGAGAGCTGTGCCAGTTTCTTTTTGGCACTCTTGACTACATTAGAGAAATAGTTTTTCCACTTCTTTTCTCTATGCTGCTTAGTTACTATATAAATCTATATTTTTCCTTGATTACACATTTCATCAAAATAACAAAAATGAAGAACTGTGATACAAACTAGCAATTGTAGGTAGACCAGCTCCTACATCAATTACCCAACCAGTGAATGACATAGTCTCAGTTAAAGAACCCAGAAATTTTACTGAATGTGTAGTTTGAATACTTCTTTTGAATGAGCAGTATGTACTAGATGCTTTGTGATATTTTGGAGTCTAGTTTTAAACATATGTAATTACTACGAACTAAAAAATATCTGTAATAAGTATATCCGAACAAGAACATAGGATTTTTAAAAAATTTCTGTTATGCTCTCAGAATGATGTCAAAATAATGAGAACAGAAATTTAGAACAATGTACAGTGGTATCTGTGGAAACTGCTAGATAATTACCATATCTTTAACAATGCTTCATATTTTTATTATTCTGTGGTATAATAATGTGGTATTCAAGAATCAATTCTTTTTTCCTTAAATAGGTGAATCTATAAATTTATGAATCATCAATCCCAATATGCAGAACAGGTCTTTGAGAGACAACACATACACTCAATATTTTTCTTTATTGACATGTCACTAGTTTTTCTTTTTGTAATATAAACATGCTATTCTCTTACATCAGTTTTTATCTTCAATGACATATGAAAGATCCAAAATCAAATTGGCAGTCTCCACAGCCACCTGTAGGCCACTAAGCTTTGCAGTAAAACAGTCCAAGGTCAGGTTGCTGGCTGAGTCCGTGGCTTCACATGGAAGGCAGGTTTGAGGCACAAAAGGAAGACGAGCACTCCTTAAGAAGGACCAACTAAGTTCTTCCTGGCTGCTGTAGAGTCCACAGCCACATCTTGAAAGCAAATCTGGCCAGTTCACAACAGAGGGAGAATCAGCCTGAACTGACCAAAAGTGTCCATACTTCCCATCAGTGAGAATTTCACCTCCGTCGTGTTCTAAAGAGCCAGCGAGAGATTCGAGTGCACTGCAGAATGCTTCAGCGATCAGCTGGAGCTCTGTCTGGGTACATCCGTCATCTCTAAGAATGCCTTCTGGCTCGCTACTCGTCTAAAGAGTAACAAAACCATTGAAAACACAGAACAGAGCAATTAATGTCACAAAAATGTTTCTGAAAAATACTTGATCAAACCCTTATTCATAAGGGTTTGGCACAAGGCTAAAGGGCATGGATGGGCCAGCTGGTCAGGCTAATCCCTTAACCTGGTGTTGCAGCAAAAATGCTCGCTACCAGTCATGTTATCAGAATGAACGACTCAGAATAAACCCCACCATCAACTTATTCTGAAGGACTGCCCAGTACTGCCTCCTTAATACATGAAGGACAAGGTATAATATGTGAATCACAGGCTTCTGTACATCCGGGAGGAGGAACCTCCGGAAGACTAATGTCCCAGATGAAGTGCTTATTTATGCTTGGCAAATGTTTGAGATTTGTTTAAAATGCAAATACATGTATTGTTATTAAGACAAAAACCATTTAAGCACATGTCATTTTCACATTAATGTTTAAAAAATAACTATTCTTCTCTTTACATTAATGACAAGGGTATACAACTTTGCTTCTTTTCCACCATTCTAAAAAGTTTATCCTAGAAATTTCATGATAGAAAAAGTAATATATTAGCAAACTCATACTTGAACGATAGTTAAAAACCCATATCCTAACTACTTAAAAACAGTGACCACTTTTTTCTTTTGCCCAGGAGGTTGGAACCAGATGAGATCATCTCTATGGCACATTCTTTCCCCATATTTTCAGTGCTATACTGTTTCTTTAAAATCCTACTCAAAACACCTTCCTTCTCCAAAAGACTTGAATCTAGTTTACTCAGTCCCATTTGCAGACCATGTTATTGCCCATTCAGCACCAATAGATTGGCAATCGTTTTGTTTTTCATAATGTAAATTCCAATAACTTTTCATGAATGGGCTTTATCCTCAAACAGATTTTAAATTATTTGGGGAAGCAGGGCAAGGCATGTCTATGAAAAACGTTTACACCCACTCCCAGGCATCCTAGGGAGCTCTGCACTCCTGACTAACCAAAGAGCCAACTGCAAATACCTGGAAAACACATATATTTTTGTATCCATTTTCAAATAGAGTAGGTCAGTGTTAATGAAATAATTAATAAGAACTACAATGCACTAAATTTACTGTCAGGAAATGGAGTTTCATAGATTAACAAAACAATTCTAGTTAATAGAATCAATATATCATAAATGAAAACCAATTTAAAAATTATAATAGTCTAATAATTAGCATGCTTTAATAAATGAAATTAAGTTTTTTCTTGAAGATCCAGAAGGTACTGAAGTATTCTATAGAATCTCAACACTTTCATCGTGAATATCAATTATTACTGTACCACAGCACTTGAGATCTCTAAGATGACAGCTCCCATTAACAGAATGCTCATTTCAAGAGGCAGTAGAGACAATATTCAGAGAATGTGATCACCTGCTAAAAGGCTGGATTAATAATCATTGTGATAAAGATATTACCTTATATTTGCAAGTGTTATTTTCCTCAAGTGTTTTCAAATACAATATTTGATTTCAAGACTACTGAGAAATTAAGCATTAAAGGCTCCAGAGTATTATGATTTAACTTATTATCTCATAAAATGAATGTTGCTGAGAATTCAGATAATTTAAGAAGGACTATCTAACCTACCTTGTGTCTGATATATGCCGCCAAATGAGTTTCAGTACAGCCACCTCCTAATAAAACACATGGTTCCTTGATTGTTAACTGCAAAGCATGCAGTGCTGTTTGACACGTGAGCTAAAAAAGAAACGAATCACCAGTATCTGACATTGACATCAGAAACACAAAGAAATATAACCACGTTTTCAAGGCAATTTAGAGAGTGGTCTCAAAGAGCCTGATTTTAATTGCAGAAGAACAAAACTGGTGTCACTAAGGTTGTCATGTGATGAATACATTTTGGAATAATAAAGATGAAATAATAAAGAGATGAAAGAAAATACTTTAGCCAGATGTTTGTTTTCATGGTCTGGATTGAGATTCACAAATACAATAACTGGATCAGCAAGGTATGCAAATATTTCTACCAAAAAAATATTTCAGTCTAAATAACTTAGCTGTATAAATGCTACAGAATTTATTTCAAGCTGCTATGGAAATGATCCAACCAAGCAGTAATAAAAACACACAGACCTTGAATATTCACCAAGGATAGATCCTTGAGCATGCATTCTTCAAGTCTGTGACCAATGCCGTAGGGCATCGCTTCCATTGTATAAAAGCTGCATGTGTTATTGCTGTTCGTGGACAACATGCTGTTAAGAGGTAGATGATGGGTATAACTGGGGAACCTATTGCTAAGTGAATTATTCATACATATTAGCATCAACAAGTACACAATTGAAGTTAATTTCTTAAGTCCCCATCAAGGACTTTCAGATTGCTTGTAAAATACTAGAAATAATAAGAGGCAACATGCCAAGTTTCTGTAGTATCACAGGCAATTCAATCAGATTACTTGTAATTTTAATTCTCACATTTTTGTTGTTTTTGCTTTCTATACAACCTAGGGAAGTTATGAAGAAAAAAAAAGCATAGCTCACCGATGTGAAAAAAAAATTATAGCACTTGTCTGAGTGATTATTTAATCCCTGCCTCAGCCCCTAGACGTGGAATTCAAAGTTTATTACTTACCTTCAGTTCATCCCAGGCTGTGTCATTTCTGTTGCAGAGAAGCAAGCTGCAGACAGTTGCTTCATTAGGAATAAGATGAAAAAAATGTTTGAAGCCAAATTTGGCAGTGCACAAATCTTTCACACTTCCATAACTACTGGGAGAGATTGAGTCCAAGGAACCAATAGGCCTTGTTCCTATTTTTTAAAAAAAGTTTAGAAAACACAAAATGGATGAGTGAAGATGGAGCATACAATCATTTACAATTATAATATTTATTCCTAGCCAATATAAAAGTCCCACAAGCATATCACTTAAGATATGAAATATAGGATAAAGAAATAAGATGCATCTTCTTAAACCTATGAAATAAGTAGTATTCTGTCATTAAAATCATATGCAAATAAAGCAGAGGTTCTTTTGGTTTACAGACTTCTTTGAACATGTTAGAAGCTATTATGTACTCTCCAGAAAAAGACACACAATTTTGCATACATTTTCAGGAAGTCCAGGAACCCTGGAAGCCCGTGCAGGGATCAGAGACCCCAAATTAACAACCCCACTAATCTGGAATGAGGATGAAGTGAGGAGACAGGCCATTTTTTAAAGGTGTTATGATTTTTACCTTAGAACACACAAAGTAAGCTATGCAAATAGCTGTGTAGTTGAATTCTTTTGGGGCTCCATTTAGTGAACATATAGGAATTTTTTTTTCTTTTTGCCTAACAACTGTTTGCATGTAAACAACTACCTAAATTATACCAAAATAAAGTATGTGACATTCTTATTTCATTTTCTTATTCTTTGATTATATTTTGCCCTCCTTCCTGAACAGGTAAAATAGTAAAATTTTACAAAACATAAATTAATAAAAATATGAATGAGAAGTTAGGGTGACTTGAAGGTTTCTAAAAATCTCTAAATGTAGTAGTTATGTAAGAAATGGCACAAACCTATAAAGAGTAACAATACTAGTTTAAAGTCTTAAGATTAAAACTGTAACTCTTAGCAATGTACCTTCTTGGGCCAATTTCCTCTTTGAAACTAATGGGATTAAAATAATTATGTCTAAAAATATGTGCAGCTCAAAAGTTTTGTAAAAAACCAGAAAATAATCATGAACAATTTCACTTCTTTGAATACCCTTTCCTCTTTACTTCTGAATTCCCAAAGAATAAGGAATACTTGAGGGATCTAAAATTTAAGGAAAAAAACACAAAACTCTACATCTTGTATAATTTCAAGGGTGGAACCAACAGAGAATTTATAAGGAGAGGATCCCCTTTCCCACCGATTATCCTCTGATGTGCAGCAAGTCATTTAACTCTTCTGGGTGGGCTTTCCCAGAATGGGGATAATCACATCTATTTCACAAATAAATCAAACCAAATGTTAAAAATGCTCTGTAAGCTATGACAAGCTTCATACCCACAAGTCAACCAAGCACAATAACCCCATTACTTAACCTAGATCATCAGTAAAGAGGAATTTTGTCTGAAGGGGGAGAAAGGAGGTAATGGTAACCTAGATACACCAGAGAAGATGGATTAGGTCCCAAACATACTTCACCTGTTATTAGTTTACCGGAACCATCGGCCTGGTATAGTTTTTTTCCCCCTTTTCCCTTGTGTCTCAAAAAGTTTCTGCTCCCGAGATCCAAGACTGCAGCCCTGGCTTTGCATAACGTTACACATACATAATTTGGGGAGGCAGGGCAGGGCATGTCTATAAACAACATTGACACTCTCCCCAGTCCCACTGGCAGCTCTGCAATCTCTTGATAACACTCCAAAGAATCAACTGCAAATACTTGGAAAACACATAACGTTTCATATCCATTTTCAAATAAAATAGGTCAGTTCATGTTCTACCATGTTCTAGTTACAAATGGGATAAAATATCAATTGTGGGCTGGTGTGGAAACCCAGTGCCCACATATAATATTGTTTCTATGGAAAAATGCTTCAGTTTAAAAACTGACTACATAATCTGTAATACTCAATATTCACAACTGGAAATCACCTGACTCATGAAAAGCCAGTAAATATTTAAGGATATGGGTCTGACCCACAATATTACCAATAAGTTGCAAAGAACGATTTCTGTTATTTCTTAACAATTTCCACTCTAACGATCATTTGACAGTCTTACAGAGGCAGGGCAATAGCCCAGGGATCTTAGGGATTCAGTACTGGCACTCATCCTTCTGCTTTTCAATGATTTATAATAAGACTAAAAATTGTCAACTTCAACAGTTTTAACAAAATTTATTAGACTTAAACTTTTAAGTCTAATAACTTACGAATTGAAATTGATCTGAATGAAATGATTGTCTTTCTGATGGGTTGTCAATGCAGTTAAAGAGATACTGAAAAGTGACTCAAATCAGGAACTTTTCAGCCTGTCATTTCTCTTTGGCTCCAGCAGGTGACTACCAACCTTCTATTTGCTTCTCTTTGCTGAGTTTGTGAAATACGGTGAATTTCTTGCCTGTTATAATTCTGTATGTTAATAAACATATTATTGTTAATTCAACAAACATTTTAGAACCCCTACTGTAGACCAGGCTTGTTGTAAGCACTGAAAGTAAAAGATGATCCCAACTCTCAAGGAGCCTAGCTGGAAATATTTGGGATATTGAAAGCTAGCCTGGGGGCGCATGCGCGCGCGTGCGCGCGCGCGCACACACACACACACACACACACACACACACACACACACACACACACACACACACACACACACACACACCCCCACACCCAATTAGGAACCACCATTTAGGCAGAAGTACAGTTGTTTGTTGGTTAGATAAGTGAATATTCTAGTTGCAAAACTACCTTCTGAATACAATAAGAGCTTTGTAAAACTCAAGTAGAATTTTGTTTCAAGTATGAAAGACTTTACATGATTATGAAAATGTTAGATTTCTCAGTAATCTGTAAAATGTTTGGGGGTTAATAGTTTTAGATTATGACAGGCTCTGCAGTACATTTTGGGGCTGGAAAATACCTAGAAAATAGTCCTCATCATACAATTTTTAATAAGTGAACAATGCAGGATCTTTTTCAGAAAACACCTTTGCTGCCAGAAATGATACACACACACTGAGGTTGGCGGCTTCTCAAATTGTTCAAGATGTTAACAGTGACATACATCAAGACTATCTTTGCTTATAAGAACTGTGATTTATTAACCATAAGGGGCAAAAGCTGAGAGTGCTTTTTACCTGTCACTTTACTCAGGGGTTCCATCACAGCCACTCCAACTCTGTCTACAGCAATAACATGATGCGTTCTGAGAAACTGCTTCAAAGATGGGTGTATAACTTTTTGGCACAAGACAAGATCTACGTGATCACTAACTAGCTGCCTTCCTAGGTTAAGCAACTGGTCCAGGACTGCATTTTCAAGAGAAACTCCGTAACTCACCACCACATTTCCTTCTCCAGTATCAGAAAGGTCTCCGGATAAAGACACACAAAAGAGTGCCACCTTGAAGGAATCTGATTTTTTGATAGGTAATATCTTCATCAATTGAACTTCGGATATTTCAATAAGTATTCCAGGTAACACAGTAGAATCTATAACTCTTTGATGTTTTAAAGGGACAATTATACTCTTTCCTAAAATGATGTGGTCTTGGGCATTTTCTGGAATTATAAGCAGAAAGGCTCTCAGAATCAAAGTACTGATATGGTCGATTTCCTTTGTGGTGAGCATACAGGCAGGTTTACTTGTTAATATACTGCGCACCAAACAGAGGAGGATGTGAGTGCTACTAAAGTTGACTGGGATTCGACAACCACAGGCCTCAGATTTTAGGTAACTGGTGCAGAGGCTCAAAAGCTGCTTATTTAACTTAATGACAGTGGTGGGTGTCAAACCTATTCTCTGAACATTTTCAACTAAGTTGCAGCAAAGAATGGCTGTGAATAAGCCGCCGTCACTGAAGCAGGACACGTGATTCTGCACAGAAGTTGTCAGTATCTTTAAAATGGGATGGGTGACTGGCAGGTTGGCGAGGAGGGCTGCCGACTGGGAGGTTGTGCACACAGATCCCCCCAGGCCGTTGTGCAGCTGCTTCAGCCTGCCTGCCGGGCCATAGCAGGATGTGACGATGCCTTTCAAGACAGAGAGGGTGGCCTTCACTCGTTCGCTTGTCAGTGGTTCACTTCTACAGAATGAGGGCTTTTTAGCTTCTAAACGAGACATCTTACTTCAGGTGGTAATTTGTGAAGACAGCTTTTATTTTGTTAACCAGAGTTTTCTATTTATTGTATTGTGGTGGGTTTCAACATTTAACAAGATTATCCTTCAGGAATGAAAGTCCGAATATACAGCGTTGTGGCTATAAAATTAAATACTTAGCTCCATGCTTACGATACTAATCGGCACGTAATGGTGTAATGACATATTAGTAATTCCAAATATTTATTTTTGTTCATTATTCAAACTCTTTTGTTTGCCTTCAGGCTGAGACTTTACAGATTGTTTTGCAGCTCTCTGTATAAAATATGTTCCAAGATGGATGCCTGTGAAGAAAATCCCAGCTACAAGAAGCCAGTTCTTTCTGATCCAATTGCTATTTTTCATTTCTTCTTTCAAACTCAAGCTCAGACTCAAAGCTGCTTCTTTCTATAAGAAATAAAAATAAAACATTTTAGAGAAATAATTCCAAAACATTTAGTAGATTGTAGTTTAGTAATTACTTTTAATGCTCTGCTCCTTCTTTAGAAAAAGGAACTATCCACTGGCACAAACCCCCAAAAATGAGAAATGTAAATCAACTTAGACTAAACATTTATTTCTTTATTCTTCAATGAATCCCTACATGAAAAAGTACTGATATTTTAATAATTTTGGAATGCACAGTAACACAGCTAGAAAGCTTACAGTACAGTTATTCATATATGACATGCTTCTAGAAGACAAATGCCATGTGAAACTCATAGAATTTGGTCTCTGAGTCCCAAATGTTTTTATTCTCTTACATCAAGATCTAGTGTTGGGGCTTCCCTGGTGGCGCAGTGCTTGAGAGTCCGCCTGCCGATGC